CAAAGCCGCCTTTTGCCGCCCCTCATGCAGCATATGAGCGGATCTTCACTAAAAGCCGGCTCTATTGGCGGCATCTAAGTAGTAAGCCCACCCCAAGATGAGTGCTCTCCTATTCCGACTTCCCCAGAGCCTCCGGTAGCACAGCCGAGACAGCGATGGGTCGGCTCACTCATTATGCAAGCAAGCAGCGGTTCAACGCTACACCGCTTTTGCATCAATTCCTTCCCTGTTTCGGTGCATCTTCCATTCATATCGATTTTGGTTTTTCTGCACCATATTTAGATCTGCCTCTTCTTACTGCCTGCTTGTTGTCCTCAAAAGCTCTTTGACACTTTTCCGATCAGTGAAATGYCATGATCGGTCCGTACGTCCTTCTTTAGTTTAGGAGATTTTTGACATCAAAATGATTTATGAAATACCAAAACGAACATAGTTAGTCATAATTGGCATATATTTTAAACGAAGAGATTGTAAGTTTGATTCCTCACTCCACATGTACTAAAAAAACCATTTATGAAATCAATCATTGTTACAAGCATTTGTTGCTTGCTTTGTTTGAAACAATATATTTTTAGATAGAGGAAGCGAATGGGAAGAGAAGTTTAAAGTTTCTGTAAAAATTTTAGGCAAATTTTTTTAACCTAAATTTTTTTTACAAATATAAATAACGAATTATACATCATTGGGAAATTTATGAAACAATTTTTTTCAGTTAAATGAGTGATGGAAAATTGAACAAGAATTCATGTGAGAAAAAAAAAAGTTAAAAACCCAAATTATAAATTTATATAACAATTCTCAACTACGATTTCCCATAAGAATGACAAGAGAACACCAAATCAAAATCCTTTGGGAGCGAAGATATCAAATTTTCTTCCCTATCCAACCGTCTCACCACCGTATGCTCGTCTCCTCTTTGTCATACGCAGAACTCAAATTAGCCCCTAAATTCCCTCGCGCTCAATAGCCACTCCACTCATCCTTCTGCTGCACTTCTTCTATACACTTACGTATCTATTTCAATCGCGTACAGTACATCGTTCAGTGGGCAATTCTATTTTTGTTTTCAAACGGAAGCATTTGTCTGGGTTTGCTGTCTGATTTTCTCTGGCTTTGAGGGGTTTTTGTTGCCTTAATGTCAGATGGGGCTCGGGTTTCGTTTGATTCTTTTTTAATTTGCAGTGCCAATTGCTTCACTATGGATTCCGGATCGAGTGGCCAGGAACCCACTTCTTGGGAAGACCTTTGCAGCATCAATTTGATGCCCTCGGAATTGTTTTTGAAGTTCCGCAAAGAGTTGCAGGGCTTTCGAGTTGGTATCAATTTGGAGGTGATTCTACAACTGTGCATACTTTAGATTTTATTAGAATTATGGTGCCCCTTTAGATTATAGTCTATGTTTCGAAATCCATATAATTTGAAGATTTATACGTTGCGGCTGTGGTTCTGGTAGATATACATGTTAGCATAAATGTTTGCTTGGATGTTTATTGTCTTCGTGGGCTGCCGTTTTAAGGTTTTGCTAGTTTGTTTCGTGGCATTGTAGTTGAAAGTGTGTAAAGAAAATGCCAATTTGCCATATCATTCGTAATAATTTGTGGGTTTGATGGATTTTGTCGAATACATTTGCACTAAAGTTAATTTAGATACCTTGGATGAAATAAGGAAGTTGCATTTTCTCTCTGTAAACAAAAGGAAAGAAAAAAAGTTAATAGTAACTAATAGGATAACTGGCAGTGGCCGAGACCAAGTTGAGCTTGTATTCTCTTGTGTTTTCGTAACATGCCTTCCCATCTCGTAGAAACTACGACAAGGTGTGAGTGTAATGTTTGGTCCATTTAGGAGTTTGAGTATCAATTTTGAGTGTTAGAATATAAGTTAAAGAGTTTAGTGGTTGTGAGTATTCTTGGCACTTGATTTTGAATTGGGTCTATGAAAGAATGGATTGTAATATATGAAAGAGGGTAACCCAGTCTTGATTTTCACATTCTCCGTTACCTCTATATGCACGGTTTGTTTCGATTCTTTTACTGTTAGATTGAATGGATTTGCATTTACTATTTGGTTCAGTTCTACAATGCTCCATGTAATGAATATGAGGCCAAGCTTGTGCTGAAGCCATTATATCCGAACCAAAGATGGAAATTCATCTACGAGCCAATCCGTCAAGACATACGTCTTCTATCCAAAAAGATTCCTGTAACCAGGTTTCTGAATCTTCAGGTATAATACTTCTAAGCCCCCCAACCAAAGATATTCATATATCATAGCTAAAAGGAGAGTATATTTGATCACTCTCATTGTGCTACCAAAAAAAACAAGGAACTGGCTGCTCTGCTTTTAAACTTGTACTGTGGGTGGCATCAAATTCTGTCTTATGTTTCTCAAAATACTGGGCAACTACAGGTTGGTATTGGACATAATTTTCAGATGCACGCCACCGGTTGGAAATGGAAGCTAACCACATGCTTGGGTGGAGATGGTGTATCTCGCATACGAAACAAGACATCAATCAGCCCTTTTCCAGGAATGGATTTTCGCTTCGGATGGAGGGCAGATTACGTGCTGCCTGAAATTACAGGGTATGTAAATCTTCGTCCTCGATATTTAATCTCAGGTCTGAGTTAAGAATATCTATAAAACACCAGCACCCTAATGCTTGAATCTTTATCGAAATTATCGGTTGGTTTCTAAAATAGCAACATTGAATTCAACAGGGCTCTGGGTACCGGTGAACCGTTGTTTAACATGAACTCGGGAAAGCTAGAAGCCTCACTTGATAGAATTGAGGCCATTGTCACTCACAGTGATGAACCTTGATGGACAATACAACCCGAAACATCCCTAGGATTCAGTCAGGAGTCTGTCACCGACTTCGTTCACCATTTTGCAGATTTGTCAGCTCCAAATCATCCATTGTTGAGCTTGAGAAAGGTGAAGAGGATAGCATTAGCAGCTATATACTTCAAAGCGTCTAAAAGATGAAAATTTACCAGGTTTATTTTCTTAGGATGACAAAATTGTTCTGTCATTAATCCAATTCAATATTCTCTACAAGTTTGCTTTAGATTTTGTATAATCTCTACGATTAGCTTTGCAGATTTGTCACTTCTCTCCCCTCCAATTACTCATGGAGTACATTTTATTTGTACATTTGAGAATCAACAAAGTTTAGGAAACTTGTGGAAGACTGATAATTGATATATGATGTCTATCTAATCTTCATAACTTTTTCAAATTTGCATTAAAAACCTTTTTTTTTGGTTAATTGTTTAATCTAAATCAAAGTTCCTAAAGTAAATTGTGATCAGTTTTTGTCAATGACAGCGACTGAAATAATTTTCTACTCAAAATTTCAGATCTAAAAAAGAATATTTCAAGTTTTAGGTATTTCAAGTTTATAAATTTTAATCAAATTAAGTTGTAGGTATTTTAATTGGTTAAACTACGCTTAGATTGACAAGCATACAAAAATCATTCTTTTTTATTCTAGGTCATTCATGATACGCACCAAAATTGAGATTCCATTCTCATGGATTCTTCCATCTAAGGAGGTTGGAAATGTATTCTCATTTCACATACGATTTAATCTCTAAACTTTAGTTTGTAACAGTTTAATCATCGTACTTTCAAATTTGTAACAATTTAGACCCTTAATTTTAATAGGTAACAATTTAGTTAAAGTAACGACTTAATCTCTATCGAGAAAATTCTTGTTAATTTTTCAATAAAGATTCTTATATATAGATCAATAAACTTATGAGGTATCATATGTTTATAAATTACAAAGACTTAATCGTTATGTGCTAAAATTCAAGGATTAAATTATTATCGATTTAAAAATACAGAGACTAAATCGCTACTTCAATAAAAGAATGGGAATCAAGATATTTTATAACCTGAAATTTGATAACCAAATTTACACCTAATTATCATTATTATTTTTCCAAAGTTTGGCATGTTAGGGCTGTAGGGTTGGCCTTTGGGGATCACACCCACATGGCTGCTGGTTTTATCCACAAAGCAAACGGATTTAGTTTACTTTAATATTCGATCTCACAATAATTCAGTTTTGTACCTCCCTCATCTTTTCTTCTTTTTCCTTTTTCCCATTCTTAATTTTTCTACAAAAGGAACCCTAAAAGTAGAAATTAATTAGTTCAGTCTGGTTAGGTTCTTTAACCAAAATGTGTTTTGTGGATTGAACTTTAGAGGATAGACACCTTACGGTTTTTGGTAGTATAACATATGCGGGATGGAGGATTAAACTTCTAACCTCCAGGAAGAAGAAAGATGCACTAACGCTGAGTTATCATTTAATAAAAAGTCGTTAATAACAAACTACATAGAATGAAAATTCAAACTATATATTTTTCTCAAATACTTGAGAGGTCAAATGATTATTTTGATAGAAGGGTGAAGTTTAGGTGTTTTGTCATGACTTTGAAAGTCAGCTTCCTAATTAGTTGAGTTATTTTAGAAAAATTCAGTTAGAAATTATTTCTACTGAATACCTATTAAAGTTTTTGAAAGTTACACCATTATTGATAGTTGATTGGATTAGAAATTGTGAATGGTTATAATTGAGCTCAAACGTTTGAGATAAAAAATTATGATTTTATCTCTTGCCTAGAAATTGTTGAACTAAAAAAATTAGGAAAAATATCTATTCTATGAATTGAAAAATTAATAGCCCATTCATTTTTTTAAAAAGTTATCTATTTTGATATTTAATTTTTTTATTTGTCAAAAATTGAATAGCGTGTAACAAAATAGAACACATCGAGTCACAACTGTTACGGCAGTTTACTGTTGAAGAGAGAGGCAGGGTCCCACCAAATGATTCGGATATTTGGATAGAATAGTAGAAAACGCGCGATCAAAATGGCGTCAGATACTGCCACGTCACACACACAGAAAGAAAACGTGGCGAAATCTGAGTGGAGGGACTAACTTAAAAGGGAAGCCAACAAAAGGAAAAGGGGNAAATTTAATTAAAAAAAAAAAGACAAGAGGCGGGTTCATACTTCTAGTTCTGCCGCAGCAATTGCAATTTGCAAACGCCAAGCTCCGTCGTTAGGGCGGAACTCGGAATCTTGACCAGATTTGTCTTCTTCTTTCTTCTCTCTTCTCTGGAAATCCATGTTTTTAGCTTCTCTTCATCTTCAATTTGCTTATCTGACATTGTTTGCTCAAGAACAAGGGGCTAATTTCCCGCTCCGGCTCCGCCTTCTCGTCTGCCCTGTTCCACGAAGCTCCGGTTTCAATGTCGGCAATCTCGATTTACAGGCCGGAGTTCTTGGGATCCATCCAAGATGGATACCGTAATCACCACAAATTTCATCGCAACTCCGCCCCGTGGACTATGTAAGTTTGCCTCTGTTCCTCTTCTTGCTTTCCTCTTCGCTTCGATTCCGGTACTCATTTTTCCATCGTTCTGGTGTGCGTGTTTCGCTTTCAACCGTTAATTTTACTGGATAAGGTTCCTATTAATCCACTCTGCTTGAGGATCATAACGGAATCGTATAATTTTGATTTCCGGCGGGAACGGGCTGCTAGTTTTTCGGACGAGATGTGGTGTTGTTTTAATGGGGGTTTTTATTTCTTGAACTCGAAACAGGACAATGGACTCTAAGTCGCCTCAAACGATGAAGAAAGAAGAAATTTCCATTTATCTCTCAACGCCGCTGTTGCTTCCGCAGTCGAAACCCTCGCCGTCCGACGACCTGCAATTCAACCGGCCGCCGCCGGCCGACCAAGATTTACTTCACAAAAGAAGATTAGAGTTCGGTCAATTCGTAGCGCGCGAGGCCGTGCTTGATGAAGAATTGTGGGTAAGAGATTTGATCTTCAATCTCAGAACCTGTAAATTGTTGAATTTCTTTGTAAATAATAAGTGGTCTCTGTGTGTGTTTGATCTTGAGGTAGACGGCGGCATGGCTCCGAGCTGAAAGTCATTGGGAGAATCGAACAAATGAACGGTAAAAAAACTTCATATTATTTTATTAAAAGAAACTTTGTCGCATGCTCATAGCTTATCTTCTAAAAAACATAGCCACTCTTTTTTCTGTTTTGTTTATATGCAGAAGAAACCAAAAGCTAAAAAGGGCAGGTTTTAATATTTCAATATTCTACTAACTTTAAAACAGTAGGAGAGAACTTACAGAGACAGAAAAGAAAACCAATGGCAACGGTTGATAATAACAATATTTTCAAATTTCAAAGCTCATGAATGTTCAGTAAAACAATAGGAATTCTAGGAATGGTTTATCCAAGAAAGAGAGAGTTGGGATTCAACTGATTGTAGCTCTGCTTTAACACAGATATGTTGATAGCTTCAAAAGGAAATTTGCTGAACAGGTAGGATTGGCTAGATTTGTTTAATCTGGCTGAGTGGTTGAAGGTGAATTAATTGATATCCTTACTTTCTATATATATGTACTGAATGTTGCAGGAGTTCAATGCTATTAAAAAAAGATGCAGTGGGCAACATGGACAGACATGCACATGCTTTGTCACTGTGAGAAACTTTTGTCTCTAAAGTTGTAGCTCTGAAATTTTTACCAAGGCCTCCATCGGCCATTGTGCTGGAGGAATTGGCTTTGAAGTTTTCTGTTTTCAACTATCTCAGGTAAGGAAGGAACAGAGGCATATAAAGCGTACTGTGATTAAAAGTGTCGTAGCAACTCTCGATATGAGCTTGCGGCATTTGATGCACGGCGAGACTTTTCCAGGGGTCGAACCCGAATTCATGTTGTTATTAACTCCCCCTTTCTTGTTTCCTCTTGGCTAGTCATGCAAAGGAACCATGTTTGTATGCAGGAAAGAGAGAAGAGTCATTTATGCAGCATCAACAAAGAGATCCCAAATAAATATGCTTACATTGCAAACCTATGTGTAGCGAAAGCAGCACGTCGTCAGGGTATTGCTAGCAACATGTTGAAGTTTGCGGTTGAAACAGCAAGATCCAGTGGTATAATCCAAAGAGAGACTGAAACTCATATCCCCCACCCCCTTTAGACGAGCAATCAAACTAGTGTCTTTATTAAAAAAATGCAATGGTTGCACAAATATGGTTTCTAATAAGGTCTGGTGGCAGGTATTGAACAGGTATACGTGCATGTACATAGAAACAACACACCTGCACAAGCATTGTACCGAAAGATAGGCTTCGAGGTAACGTCTAATTCTGGATGTGAAGCTCCTTCATATATGACGCGTTCGGCTACACTTTGAAGAACTCATACATTTCTTACAATCTTCAGGTGGTTGAAAAAGCAAGCTCACAGTTGTTGGAAGAACAAATTTACCTACTATGTATTAACACACAGAAGCTTAACAATGCACATTGATGTTGATATTCATTATCAAGGTTCTTGTACTGACAATTGAAACTCACTAAAAGTATTGTTTTCTGAATATACTTCCGAGTTCAACAAAATTTGAGGTGTAACAGTAGTAATATTCTACCATTCTGGTATTATACCTATTTACAATGTTTCAACAAAAAAGAAAACCCCTGGCATTTACAGTTCATATACAAGTATTTCGTCGAAAGCCTCATATAGGTCAAGAACAAAAATCCCATGCAGATAACTATTAGATTTTAGTGTTCATGGAGGGCAGCAAAATGATTCAAAGCAAAGACCGATCCACCAAAATTAACACGAGGATAGCACAGAGGAATAGTAACTCGGACCTCAGTAAGGCTTTTGCGGCCAAACAGGAGACAGTTTCAGTCCAATGATCTCTACCTCCGGGTTCGAGTGTCCATCCAGAAACACTTCCGTTACCTATTACGCCATTACACCATTACACCATGTTATATAGCTGCTTTAACAGTTTCCATAAAAAGAAAAAGAGGTAAAAACCAATCACTTTCTTTTCTTAATTTTGTAAAATCTTGCACAATTCAAGGGTTGAGCCTGACAAACACACCTGAGAACATCCAAAGAGTTTAAGCACTCTTAGGGACAGGCAGTTATCAACAATTAAGCCGAGAGCCTCATTGGTCAGATTTCGACACCAAGAAAGGTCGAGGCTAACCAAATTCTTAGAAAAACAGGCTAGCGAAATGGCTGTGCTGCGGCCAACCTGCAGGAACCCATAATTGTCCCAATCAATGAGGAGAACCAACATCTTCCATAAACTCTACTTATGATCTTTTCTAGATAAGAAAAACTCTACTTATAATCGTTAGTTACTAGCCTAAATTGATCAAGAAGTGCCACTAAAGCTAAGGCAGCCAAGATATTATAATGTATTTAAATTCTGCAAATTCATTTATGAAGTACATAGCAGAAAATATTTAGATATACCCAGCAGTTTTTCTAGGCTCCAGTACTAGAGACTATCTGGAAAAAGAAAGATGGTTAGTGCAGAAAACAAGGTTAATACATACCTTTTTGATATTGTTTAGGGAAAGTTCTTTTAAATTTTCTCCAGAAATCTCCACGAATGCAGAAACAGCTTCATCACTTGCAAAAACAAAAACGATATTGAATCGAACAGCCAAATAAGACAGAAGCACTAGCACCTATAATTTAAGTTGAAGTGTGAATGCAGGATGAAATTTTTTTGCACAGGATTATTCTCAGTAATGTTCACTTCTTGACACTTTGCTTAACTAACCTCGTACCAAAACAAACATTATTAAGTTACTCTCTCTGTAAATAACCACTCACTGCTTGGAAATAGCCGTGTTATTTGTGATCTTTTCTATACACTTGCAAAATACGATAGAGAAGAAAACCTTTTAAACTCATTGAGAAACTATAACTATCTCATAGAATAAAGATCATGAGAACATTAAAGGTTATATTTAGTTGCTGACTACAATTTGTGCTAGCATTATCTACACTAGTAATTCAAAATGACACTGGTCTCATGAGAAATGAGAAGTACCAGAACAAATAGATAATATGGTTTGACAACTATTATAAATTGCTAGAAAGGCAGAAGTGGTATGCTCCAACAATTATTAAGGATTTCTTCAATCTAACCACATTAATGAAGCATAAGAAAAACGTTCATAAATATGGTCTGGTTGACATCTTCAGTACTCATATATGGAATAAAAAGCAAGCATTGACAAAAAAAGCAAGCATTGAAGAACTATAAATCCTAATATAATTCTGGTGAGATGAGAACCTGAATAGATTCCGAGAAAGTTTTAACTTTTGAAGAGCCGGGCAACCACTTGCAAGGCAGCATAAAGCATAATCAGTTAGCCTCAACAAATTCACGAGGTCTATTGCACATAGAGCAGAGCAATTCTCTGAGATTGCTTTAATGGATTTATTGGTCAATTCCCTGCACCTCAAAAAGGAAAAGCACAGTTCAAGGAGAAAGTAAAATGATATAACATTATGGTACTGGCAACAATCATCCATAGTGATGTGTCCAAGAACATACACACAATTGGTTAAAATGAGTTGCTTCAGATTATGACCCCCATCTGTCAGAAATTCTTGAAAGAACTTGTCATGAAGGTCTTTAATTCCAGCTAATGAAAACACTTCCAAATGTTCGAGCTTCTTCATTGCAGAAATCATTAGCATTGGATCAAGGTTTTGGCAATCATCAAGATACAATTCCCTTAGAGTTGATCCCAGAGAATTGGCTATAGAGTCTATGCTTGAGGAGGTGAGAAAGGAGCACTGACTGAGATTTAAAGATTGCAATGCTGGGGCAGAAGATACAAGTGCTGCCATACCAATGTCAGAAAGACGACATGCACCACTAAGCGACAATGATTTCAGAGCAGGTAAGCTATTTGATGACTGAGCTAATGTAGACAATAGGACATAATCTGGAACACAGCGTCCACATTGGTCAAGCTGCAGTATCTGGTTCAAAGAAACAGCAAATGTAGTTTACATGGAATAGAATGCTAAAACAAGAATTACCAATAACCTGCAACTCTAATCCATACATGATACACCCGAAAAAGATGATACTAATAAAATGCAAGGTTCCAAGTTTCCAAGTCCAGATGCATAGCAAAAATGGAAGAATAAACTACGAATCAATCATTCAAGATAGGTTTTTATAATTTTTTTTTTGTGGTGAAGTGATGGTTTCTATTCCAAGATTTAAGAAACTACGAAGCAGAATTTTTGCCTAATGGAGCAGTGATTACATTATTAATTCCTAAATGTCTCATGATTAATAGTCGCTACATGAAGATTAACGGACGGGCCAAGAAAAATTCATATTCCTTCTGTTTCCATTGATAAACTTAATGCTGGAATGTATATATACCATTAATTTGCTAGTGTCGCACCCTTGGAAAGATTTTACAAACTCCTCCTCACACAACCAAGAACAGTCCCATATACAAACTTCTGTTGGGGATCCACATAGAAGAAGATCCAGAAAATGATGGTTCATTTTTCGAGAATCACATAGTAGCCGACAAAGCTTGTGCCTGAAAGCATCTGGGACAAAGTCCAGTGAAGAAATTGCATCGGCATTTTTGGCAAGAACCCATAAGCATAAATCTCTTAAAGAGGGAGGAGACGATGACTTGGGGCGGCTACCACACCTATTCTTTCTAGGGATCCATACAACTGGTGCAGGAACATGCTCCTCCTCGGAAGACATTCTAACTCGTAGACCTTTCGCTCGATCACTAGCAATCTTCATTGCAGTAGAGAAAGGTCCCGGCCAGTCTTCAACATTGTCTTCAGCTTCAGCCCTAGCATGCCACAAACTATGATCGTCTTCATTATAATAATGAGCAAACTCAAGAGCAGTTCTCCTTGAAAATTCTCTTGCTGCATTGCCATGTTGCTGAATTAACAACCGCCTATTTTCGGCAGCAATATTACCTTGAACTTCCTCCTGTGAACTAGACTCTATATCCTGATTCTCATCACTCCGATGACCATCATCTCTCAGATGCGGAGTGTATGAAACCTCACCTTCTCCAGAACAGTATTCATATCTCATTTTTGAATCGATTCTAACTTCTTCAGATAGAGACAACAAAGCGCTTGCAATCAATTGCCCCTCACCATTTTCTTCTGTGGCATTTAGGTCAATCCCAGCAAAGCCATCAGCATCCATATCTGCTCCATCATTATAACTTGTATCAGTAAACTTTCTTTTACCTTTTTCGATTACCATTCCCTTTGGTCTTTCACGAGCTGAACAATAATTTTGATGGTCTACTAGATTATCACTTAGCACATCATCGTTCAGTTCAGAATGTAATACAACCGTGTCATTTCCATTTGAACTTTGGCCATCCACAATCCATTTGCCCTTATCTCTTCGGCTGAATCTACTTCTGCTCTTGCTACAATCGTTCTCATCAATTCTTGAGCATTCCTCCTTTAGTTCTTCAATCACAACTTCTCCACTTCCACCCAGAGCAATTGCATCGTTGTCATTATCTTTTAAATCCTGCCCCTCTTCAACTAGGGCATCACTATTACTTTGAAGTGTGCTAATACCCTTCTCTTGTTCCACTGTCTTAAAAACTCTCTTCCCCGAACGTAAACTGAGGCACCTTTTACTCTCAGGACTTTCATCAACCAATTCCCCAGCCAGTGAATCAATAGTGGGGATCAATTTTCTCTTCCCATTAACATTAACCTTGTCGCTCTTCGACCCTGTACTTCCAAAATCAATACTCCGCATAGGTTCACTCAAGCCCTCGGCTCCCTCATTAACTTCCAAAGCCTCAACTCCGCTACAAATTGAACGAACCCCCATCTTCGCACTCAAGGCCGGGCCCGAATCCCGCTCGTCAATCGTCTCCGCTATGATCTCAGTAGATCCCCGTGTAATCCGTCCACACAAATCCTTCCTCCCGGGGTTAACAGCAGAATGCTCGGCGCTAAGCCCTTTGGCAGCAAGACGAGAGCTCCGCCTCCGAGAAACCCCGGGACCGGAGACGCAATCGGCGGGGGAGGCAGTAGAATCAGTGACAGAAGCGGCGGGGGAAGGAGAGTGGGGGCCAGGGGGGTGGGTTTCATGAAGTTGAGAAGGCGTAGAGGGGTGTGGGAGAGTGTTGGAAGGGGTTTCTAGGGTTTTGGGAGTGGGCGGAGGAGGGAGAACTTCTCTGGACCTCAGAACCGTCATTGTGAGGAAGCTCGTGGCGGAGGCGGAGGAACAGTGGCCGGAAAACTGGAGGCGCCGGCGTCAGAGAGAGTCGGAGCGGCGGAGAAGTGGCTGTTGGTTAGGTTTTTGGGTTTGAGCGAAACCAGAAACTTCTCCTTCACGCTACTTTCGTAGACGGTTGCGCTTTCCCGCCAAACCCCTCTCTCGGCTCCTCCGTCGTATTTTGCCTAGAATTTTTTTTACTTTTTTATTTTTTATTGTCAATGTTGGTCTATATTTTTTTTGCTATAGTTTAATTTTTATCATGTAATTTTAAAATGTTTATTTTAATTTATCTACTTTCATTTGCACAACTTTAATATAAATTTTATATAAATAGAAATTTTTAATATAAATTTATTAATGTATTTCAAGTTAGTGAGTAAATTACCTTTAAATTATAAACAAAAGAAATGAGATAAAAATACAAAATGAATGAAAAACACGAAGTAATTTTTTTTTAAACAATGGACGACTAAAACCAATGTTTCAAGAGTACATTGACCAAAATAAATAAAAATTAAACATATAGAGATCAAAATAGACGTTTTGAAAATATAGTAATAAAAATAAACGATCCAAATAGCATTTAAACCTTTAATTTCTAGTGTTTTATTTTAGAAATCAATTTTTCTTTTCTAATTTTATCATGATTTTTTTATTAGTCATTTAATTTTTATTGCTTTTCATGACAATTTTATAAAAGCACAAAACCATAAAATGTAAAGAAAAAAATGCGTCGAACATGAAAAATGTAGTTTTTCAACTTTTTATGATGTCAAAATGCTACGAAAAGCCAGAAATTCGAAAAACTATCTTTTCCTAGTAAAAACGCGTCTTTACTTTTCATGACATCCTTTAAACGTCACAAAAAAACGCGTTTTCTTCCAACTTTCTGTGATGTTTAAAAAACGTTATGAAACGTCAAAAAATTCGAAAAACTTTAGAAATTGCACATCACTTGAAAAACGTGTTTTTTTTTCCCAATGGTTCGTGATTGTTAAAACGTCATGAAAGACGATAAAAAATTTAAACAAATCTTGAAAACTTCGTTTTTTTATGTTAGAAACGTGTTTTTTTTTATCTTTTGTGACGATTTTTTTTAATTTTCAACGTCTTTTATACTGTTGATTAGCGTCATGAAACGTCAAATTGTAGTTGTGGTTCTTTTTCTTTATATTTATAAAAGAGGTATGGTGGAGGCAAGATGGGGCAATTGCAAAATTGTCTAATATATATATATATAGACTACATCAATTTAAATTTTTGTCTATAATTGTCTAATATATATATACACACACCAATATATTAAATTTTTGTCGACATGTGACAACATATCCATTAACATTTCTATATATTCATAGGTTTGACGTCGATGTACGAGCATTTTCATAGTATTATAAAAAAATCAACAAAATATTATTGATATAGACATAATATTAATATTAATATAACTTATTTAAATAAAGTGAAATGTCTATTTGTTAATTTAAATATATGGAATGAATTTTTTTTATCATTTTATATATTTTTTCAAAAATATCTATCGACGTTGATATTTAAAGTCTTGATGGATGCATACAAAGGATTTTTAGAAAAAATTATTATAATTTACTTCTTGTTGTTTAAAAACTAAGGGTAATTATTAAAACTTTTTTTAACACCTTACCACTGCGTAACTTTTGTTTTTACATTTTACATCATATTTTTGCCACTTATATTTTTAGTAGTTAAATTTTACTTGAAACTTCTAAAATAATATATGGATGTAATTTGAAAGTTACCTCTTGTTTTAGTAGTTTGACTTGTAATTATTTGTTAATTTAAACGTAGTTTAACACATCATTTGTAACATTACATTTTAAAATGATTTTTATAATATCTTATCTTAATTATTATGCAACATTTGAAGCAATTTACTTCTTCATTCTAAATTAGGCAAAGAAGAAACCAAATTGCTGCCTAAGAGTAAAAAAAAAACACATCAATGGATAATATAAAACAACACCTTAAAACTACAAAACACAATACCAAACACCAAACCCATAACAAAAACAAAAACAATACAAAAACGACAACTAAACAACCAAACACATGAACAACGTAACTAAAAAAGAAACCAACAAAAATTGGATCAACCACTCCCCCCCAAAACTCCCTTCAACTTCTTGATCTGAGCAATGTCCAAGAACGTCGTCTTTGCCACGATATCGGTCGGCAACTCGTTCCCGAACAAGGCGAAGTCAAGGATCTGCAGGCCGGGGTTCGGGCTGCTAAAGCTAACGAACGCCAGAGCATTGGACTTGCCGGAGTTTATTTGGAAATGCAGCAGCCCTTGAGGGAACACCATAATGTCCCCTTTGTTCAGCGTTTTGAAGTAGACTGTATTCGCCGACGAAATGAACCCGGCGCAGATCGTTCCTTCGATCACCACTAGAATCTCTGAGCCCGCCGGGTGGGTGTGGAACGGAATCACACCGCCGATGGCTAGGTCAAGGCGGGCCAACGAGATTCCTAGCCCGTTCACTCCTGGGAATTGGGCGGTGAAGGCCGGAGTCACGGCCGCCTTGATAATGTTTGAGGTGTTACCTGTTATCAATATGATTAAACATCAAAAGCTCATTCACTTAAGATTTTAGGTTCAATTAGAAATATTTTTATGTCCACGTTAAACGAATTTCTCAACATTTTTATATTTGACATTGCACATTTCAGCAGACTTAAAATTTCACTCAACTAGTTCGATTCGAGTAGTTGTTGGATTGAAATTACTTTTCATTTGGTTAAAAACACTTATTTCATAAGTGCTCTCAAATCTACTCGGTACTCATTTTTAAGCATAAAATGAGGGAGAATATTAAATAAACATCAATGAACATATAATAATTTGTCAACTTAAACTTTTGAGTTAGAACAATAGTTTAACATTACCAGCAACCCCGAGGCCAGAGTAAACAAAGTCCTTTTCAGTGACGAAGGCTGCCTTCTTGCAAGGGAATCCGGAGGGGGTATCGGAAGATTTGAGGTCAGCGACGCAGAAGTCCTGGACGAGAGCACGGGAAGAGGAGGCGAGGACAGAGAAGATGAAGAGAAGGGGAAGAATAGCCATCTTCTTCGCCATGGATGGATGCTTGGAGGTAGGAGGGAATTGAGTGAGCATTTATATAGAAGAAGCTGAGTAAGAGGATAACAATGGCGATGCCCATTCCCATGCAACCAATTTCGTGTCCTTACTGAACGTTGAAAGGTTGTGTGAGATTGGGACAAATTTTGCGAGCTGTGAAGCATGTGAAACGGTTCTGAATCTTCCACTGAAAAGACAACAAAAAGTTTCTTTTTGTATGATGTCAAAATCAGTAAAAATGCAAGACCAAAAATATCTCAAACCAGAAATATCTCATCAACCTCTTCCTCTGCCGTTTCTAATTATAGAGCAAACACCCATTTGTTTGAATAAGGAGCAAGAAATAATATGGCTTTCTTCGTGCGAATCCTTGACTATAATCAGAATTCGTTGTCTCGATCGAACCATGACCAACACAATTCAAGACGTTATGATAGGTGATATTACAAGATCCCTTGTTATCCTATCATTTTAAGAAATTTAAGATATTCTTTAATATTATAGACTCAAATTTTCAGAATGTTTAGATTTATAAGTTTAGGAACTAAATCTAGAGGTATAATATGTGTTTATTTGTTAATTAATTAAGGCTCTGTTGGAAGACCTTTTGGCTTTTTTGTTTTTATTTTTGAAAATTCTGTTGGATTCTTTTCAATTCCTTTGGTATATTTTAGTTTTTTTTTAGAAATACATATCAACTCTAAGCCAAATTTTAAAATAAAAACAAGTTTTTGAAATCCACTTTTTTAATTTTTAAAAATTCAACTTAGACTTTGAAAATGTTTTTAAAAAACAAAGAAATATACCTGATTGAAAGTAGTGTTTACGGACTTATTTTTAAAAAATAAAAGACACATAAATTATAAGTATATAATATAAAATTTGAGTTTGTGGGTAGACCGTGAAAGTTAAATTTAGATTAAAATATTAATATTTTGAAACTTTTCTATTTTAATCCTTTTACTTTTTATATCCTATACCTCATTAGCAGCATGCATTATAGCGTCGTTGAACATGTTCTCAAAAGCTCGTTTGTAAAATATACTTAAGAAACAGTTAACCGAACATATTTTCACACTCGATGTCGGTTCTAACAGAAAAAAAAATAACGTTTCCAAAAGATTTTGGAAAGAAAAAAAAAAGATCCAAAAGTGGTCCATTCCATAGTCACATGAGGAAGAAAGGAAAGGGCTAGAATTTGAAGGCAAAAGAAGACATTATATAACAGCTAGGCTGTGTACCTGCAACCCAATTATGTTGTTTAAATTTTTTTGAAGGCATGTTAAAAGATCTTTGTGTGGAGGAGATAGTTTCCCTATCTCATGGGTTACTCTGTTTTACAGCTTCTACTAGATGTGATGAAATTTGGATAACTCATCTTCTGTCCTCACATGTATATATAATATTTTATTCGCTTTGACTCGGCCTGACTCTACCCGAGATTGTTTTCTTTAAGGTATTTACATAAATAGCATAAAATAGTATGTAATTTCAAATACGGTAGAAAGTTTAAAGTTTGCGTGATTTAAATCAAACTCAAATGTAGTCTAAAATATATTAGGAAAATGTGAAACTTGAATTATATTTTAACCAAGTAAAAATTTATGACATTTTTAAAAATATATATTAAATTTAAGCGATGGAGCTTTTTTTATTTTCTTTTCAAAGTTGGAGATTTAGGTTGGTGTTTGATTATTCAATCACTTTTTTTAGGTTTGAGATTTGAACTAACAAGATTGTGGTCGGAAATAGGTATCTTACCTATTTAAGTTGGCTTGTTTGAATTATTCAGTTGTATGTTGTTGGTTGCCACTTATCTATTTTGAGAGTTTCTCTCATTGCAACCTTTACATTAAATGAAATTAATTGAATAAGACTGAACTATAAATGATTATTTTTTTATTTTGTTATTAAATTTCTAAATAGATTAATAATGTAGATGTGTATTTACATGCTTGTGGGAGAATTTTTTTTTTTCAAAAAAGAAGATATTGATTATTAATTAAAAAGAGAAGATGGCACGTGGACTACAGATTAAGAGTTGTCACCCTTTACAAAATTTAACAGCCAAGATGGAAAATTATAATACAATACAAACATGGCACATCGAAAGAGGTCAGAGTGTGTCAGACCATCTGCTAGCCTATTGCAATGCCAAGGGATCGACATGAAGGAAAAATATAGGGTAGCTCTTGCGATTTCAAAAAGTGATGCATCTCCTAGGGTCAAGATCTCACCACGAATGAGTTGGATTGCAGATAGGGAATCAGATTCAACCATAATGATTTCTACAATGTATCGATTGAGCAAACGAACTCATTCAACAGAGGTGAATACGTTACAGGGGTGAAAATTGACCCGACGAATCACGAATAAAGAGGCCCCAAACCAGTAGCATTTCATCCGTGGAGACACCCGCAAGCACCATAATTTGAGAAAGCCTGAAATAGGAGCCAAGATTGGCTGATCTGGGTTCGCGAATGCCCTGCACAACGAGGTAAAAATGATGAAACTCTTACTTGCTTGAATTTGTCATTATATGCTTTTGATCCAATCAAATTTAAAACTGAAGTCTAGGAGAATTTCGATCATTCCAAATAGTCCAACAGATCATTGTCGCAACATCCCAATCTTAAGATTTGATAGCATATTACCGAGAGTATGTATTTAGACCATGTAGATTGGTTGAGATATGTATTGAGTGATTTAACATATTCTGCAGTGTAAATTTATCCGTCTATATAAGTAAGAAAACTCCATTCTTTCTAAACAGAATTTTTCATGATGCGAATAATAAATCATTACAAATCTTTATATTTCAAAAAACTAAATTGTTACCGCTTAAGTTCATGGACCAAATCGTAATAAATTTTAAACTTACATAATAATTATGTTGTAAGTAGTGCAAACAAAGTTTTACGTTGTTTAGGAAACAGAATGAGATATATTAGATAAACCAAAAGCGAAATTATGAGAAAAATTTAGATGCTAAATTGTTATCCCATACCTCAAATTTTTCTCATATTACATAAATTTAGCATCAATTTGAATTCATTTTAGCACAATCAATATTGAATTGAGAATAGTAAAATACACACCTTTAAGGCTCCCTTCTCATTTTTTTTTGTTTATGTTTCCTCTTTTCTAATAAAAAAACAGTAGAATTGCAGGGCTTCCAACCCTTATGAATTCATAAATGATAAAACAAAATCTTTATTTACGTTGGAACAAATTGGAAACAAAAACATGAAACAAAAAACTTATTTTTATTGATTCCAAAATCTCTATATAATTTTGAGATTGTTTTTTAAAAATGAAAAACAACAAATATAAACCACTGTCAAATACTTAAATTTCTTAATAAAATTCAAGAAAAGAAACCTACATTCAAATCTTTAACGTGGGTGAATTAAATTTGTTTTGTTTTTCTTACTTTAAAAGTCAGAGTAAACAGCAATTTGAATGGGCAGACGATCAAAAATGGAAAGTCACATGACCCAAAAGATTGAGAGAGCATCAACTTGCACTTCCCGCTTCCTCTGTATTTTCATTAATAAACAAAAAGTAACAGTGAAAAAGTACAAAATTTTCACCTTTTACTTTTCAAAATTTTTTGGATTATTTAAAAAAAAAAGATAAGTAGAGACGTCGTAGCTATAATTTTGAAACTTCAATTTGTGGTGAAATGAAATCAATGCATTTTAATTGGGTTTGAAATTTTTTATATTGAGTTTTAACACTTCTATAACTTGTTAAAATTGTGTAGCTAGGTTAAAATTTAGTGTATATATATTATTAATTTCAAAGTAATTATTAATAAAAGCTATAAGTGTTAAATTATTGTGTCATTATTATAGTAAACTTTAGGAGACAATTGCATAAATGGCATAGTTTAAAGTTTTTAAAAACTAGTATAATCTAAATGAAAGTAACTCAATAGTAAGGTAAAAACACATTTAAAAAAAGGTCAAATTTATGCTATATTTCAAAGAAAAATGAAACAAGTGACACTTTTTAAAATACAACATTAAATTTTTACCATGAGGTGAAATTTATCATTTTTTAAAATGGTTATTTGGTCGATAAATTCTTCGTTTAAACATCAATCAGTCAATGTTAATTTCAGACTCAAACCGACGTCATCCATCGGCATATCGATTTTCATCAGTCGGAGTATAGCGATTTCGGAAGGTGCAGAAACAACGATCGACTAACTACACCAAATGGTCAATCGATTTTGGTTGAAATTAATGAGACGAAGAGGTGAAGACGAAGACAATCCAAAAAGAGGCAAAGGGAGAAAATCAAAGGGCGACCGCAGAGAATTTGGAGAAGATTTGGGGGAGACCAATTTTATTAAAATAAATTAAAATTTTTTTTTAATTTTATAACGGCGCTTAAGCGATTTTGCAAACTATATTAATTGCAATATCAGAAATGTATGGTATATATTTCTTAATAACTCAAGGTCGACTGATTGCATCTAAAAACCAATTAAGCAATTTTTTTTTACTAAATCGATGGACTGATTCTTCGATTTTAGATCTAAAAATCGACTCCCAACCAAATGAGTAGTCCAACCAATCGATTGATATTAGTTCAACTGATTTTGATCAGTTGAGTCGAGTTTTGATCACCCTTACCAGACATGATCAACAAGTTTTTTTTACGTTGGATATGACAACTTTTAAATGGTTGTTTTATTTCTCTCTCTTTTACCATTCACAATTTTTTTTCTTTTGGAGAAATTCAAATTTTCCTTAATTTCTTTTTGTTATTCTAACTTCGTTTATTCTTTAAAACTATATAATACGTTTTGACCCTATATTTTTTAGAAAATTTTATATAAGTTATGTATATAATATAATTATGTTGATATTGCCATTCTATATGTGTTGAAGTTAATTAAAAAAAAGGCTATATTCTCTAATTAATTTCAAACTCAAAATTTAACCTAATGAAAGGTTAAATTCTGTACTTCTTTTAATTAAACTAAAACAGAACGTTTTAAACTTTATGAACCAAACTAAAACCAAGAATAGAGTTTCAAAAATATATATTTTAGAGGTTAAGAAACACATTTGGTCCATACGTACTTTCACTAAAGTAATAATTTAGTCCCTAGACTTTAGTTTGTAACGATTTAGTCCATATACTTTCACTAAAATAACAATTTAGTCCATAAACTTTAACTGGTAATGATTTAATTCCTGTAATTTAGAAATTGTAACAATTTAATCCCTATTGTACATAATTTTATTTAAATTAAGTGTCAAATTTTATCCTATAACAATTTAATCTTTCTAGTTATTATAAACATATATTTGGTCTCTCATTAGTTTATCTATCTATATATATAAAAAACTTAAAAAAAAATGTCACGATAAGGACTAATTCGTTACTAACTTTAAATTATAAGGACTAAATTGTTACACATTAAAGTTAAGGACTAAATGGTTACCAATCTAAAAGTACAGATACTAAATCGTTACAAACTAAAGTTTAAAGATTAAATTGTTAATTTAACCAAATTACAGGGATCAAAATGTTTTTTAACCTACATTTTATATTTTAAACCAAAGAAACAAGGAATAATTTATACACGATGCAATTCGGTAAATACTAAATATCCAAAATATTTGTTCCTCAAATTAAGTCAAAAGAAGCTTAAAAGAATGGATGGACACAATTTTAAATTTTTTTTAGATAGATCTTAATTTAAGGTTGTTCCTTCAATTAGTTGAGGTCAAGGAGAAAAAAAATGTGGTGATTGGAAATTATAGAGATAATGGTCAATGAACATCCAAAAAAGAATTCATTGAAAATTAGTGGCAATTTACTATATATACACACGCAACAAACGATAACTAATTTTCTTTATAATCTTTCTCGATTCTGTTCTTCTTTCGTAATAATTTCAGAAAAAAATGGCAAAGCTTGGCCATGTAATAATCGTCGTCTTCTTCATGGCCGCCACGTCAGCCGTGGGAGCACACGACGTTCTTCTCGGCGCGTACTACGGTCTCGCCGGGAACA